ATATATCTTGATTGACACATACCTTTATATTTATGTTTAAACTTGTCAATTCTAGTACTGTTTTTTATGTCTACACTTAAGTTATTCCATAGTTTTACCCCACTTATGGAAATACAAAATCTTTTTTTGGTTGTACGTATAGCATGAATTTTTAAATTTAACTGACCCCTTAAATTGTATCCCCCTTCCCTTTCATTAAATAGTTTTTGAATTCCACCAGGTAATAAATTGTTCCTGGCTTTATACATAAACACAGCAGTCTTATATCCCACTAAATCAAAAAATTTTAACAATTTAGACTGTATGAAAGCTACATTGGTGTGATCCCTATACCCCATCTTATGCACAATTCTTATCGCTCTTTTTTGTAATATGTACAATGGTTGAAGTGAGCTTTTGTATGTATTTCCCCAGTTTTCAACACCATACTCTAAGTATGGTAGAATCAATGAAGAATACAAAATACGTAGTGCTTTCCCGTCCAAAATATATCTAACCCTTGCCAATATCGATATATTTTGTTCTGAACATATCTGATATGAGATTTCCAGGAGAATTTGTTATCAATTTGTCATTTAACCTGACATCCGGTGTGAAATATAACCATACGTAAAACATACCGGAAATACAAGGCTTACTGATAATGTTGCTGCTTTCATATCACAATGACAGCTGAACAGAGTAGGGATATGCTTTTGATGTCCTGCACATTTACAACATGATTCACAATCAAAGATGTTGTGCACGGTATACGACATCTTAATACTTGTCAAGACATCTCCTTCAACCTCAACATTTAAAGCGACCGGCAGGCTTACAGTGCATTACAGAAACATCCATCCATATACTCCTTATCCTGTAGTTGCATAAACAAGGCCAATGGCAAAATGGTTGCAATGTCACAATGTCTGACCCCTGCTTGTAGAACTGAATTGTGGCTCTGTGCAAATACAGGTCAGACGAGAGGGACGAGGTAAAGCCACATGTGGATTCAGAATGTTTGAGCAGGTAGCACAGCTGCTGTCACGTGAACCTGTTGTGGTAAGGTGACAACCTATGGACAGCCAAACGCCACCCGACAGGGTTTAGCAGGTCACTGTGGAAATGGGTGAAAGAGCATGAACCTGAGCAGGGGTTAGGGGAACAGAGCTGGAACAGCAGTTTGTTTATATGCTTGCAGAACCCAGGAGAAATCCTGTTCTATTTTTAATAACCTATTCACAAACTAGTCTAAAGGATATTAACAATACATACTAATATTTATTTATTTAATAGTTGTTTTCTCATTCAAATAACAGTTACAATGTGCAAAGTGTCTGATCGTCAAACTGGTCATGATGCAGCTCCAACTTTGTAACTTCAGCATTGTGTAACATACTTTTGAAAAGTGCAATATTAATAAAGTTATTTTGATTATTGCAATCATCGATGGATTCACAATACTGGAGAGGAAAACATTACATCAGCAGCAACAAGAATTATGGTTAAAAATGTAAAATAATACTGTGAAATAATACTCTTAATAGCAAGAGCCTGGGCTAATAAAGAATTGTGAGCACAAATGCATGTAGTCATATGGGGTTGCGTAGGATTTGACATCTGACTGCGTCTATATACCATTTCCATTGTAACTGGCTACATTTAAGCATTTAAATGCAATTTCCTTGTTCTTGTCTCCTGTTAAATTTTTATCAAATTTTTTTTGGCTTAGTATTGTTTTATGTGGGTGATATATCTACATATGCACTTGACCCTTCACTTTTCTTGAGCAACCGTACCTTGAGCTGGTCCTCCTGGCCGGGGAAACTGGGAAATGAGGGGTAATGGTCCGAGGCCTGGACAGACGCTGCTAACGCTGCCGGAGGGAGATGGGGTGGGAGACTGAGTGGGGGAGGCCAGGGGACTCGGCAGCTGGGTACTGGCCTAGACCAAATAACAAAAATAAATAAAATTAAATATCACAACATCTGAACATCATACTCCTGCTCAAGTAATAATCTTTTCAGCTCTCATTTACTTTTCTCAAACTTTTTCTAACAATGACACTGATGTAAGACACCTTTTACAGTTAAGCAGTATTACAGATGACCACTAGAGGGCTGAAAGACTAATGAATGACTGAATGAATGCACGTATATGAATTAATGCATGTGTGGATTGCAGTCTGGACTCATGAAGTCCTTTGTGCTTAAAAAGAATTACAGCCATTGATCAAAGTAGACTGTAGTATATGTATACCTGTGGAGTGTTGTCAGATTTGTAGAGTTCTCCCGGCTTGTTGGGTCTCTGCTCTATGCTGTAGTACTTGCATGGGTTCCACTGGACCAGGGGAGGGTTCTGGGAAGGTTGTGGTCCATTAGGGACACTGAGCTGCATGACCATCACCCCCGGCCCAGGAGGGGGTACTCCTGAAGGAGGGTATAGTGAGACAGGCACACATGTAGATAAACAGGTGGTTGATGACATTTACTGTATTAGTGCCTATCGACTTAGACTTTAACTTGCTGTCATAGACAAAGTTTTTTTTTTCTCATTACACAAAGTATTTCAAGTGAAGTGTGCAGGTGAAAACATATACAGGTATTTGTTTCTTTGCAAAGTATTAGGGGAAAATGGTAGTTTCAAACTAGATTATCCCATTAGAAGTTACTTTCAGGACTATTTTCATAGGTAAGTATCAGCATTCGCTTGAACATCTCTCATGTAAACATCATTGGTCTGATCGAGAACAGCGGCAGCAAGTATAGTAGAGCAAGCACAAGGGTAAGCATTAGAATTGTCACTGAATAGGTTCTCAAGATTTAAAATTTTTCAGGTGAAGCAACTGACTAGTTTGGAAAAAACAAAAACAAAACTACATTATAAATTCAAAACATTTTAATAAGTTTAAGGCCTGATACCTGAGAAACTGACTCTTACTGATGTCCTGCAGAAAACCTGTAATGGTACCATGATATCTACTTTATTGGTTCAAGATTAGCATCTGGGTTATCTCTTAGTATAAAAGCTTAAGCTTTCAGATGCTAGAAGATGAACAGCATTCATAATTTCCAACATGTAAAATAAGCTTCTGGCAACATGCAGTAAAATTCAAGGCCCAAAGTTTAGGCATATTGCTGAATTAAGTCTATGGGCAGAGAAAGTTTGAAAACTGAGCATCAGTGGTGGAAGAAGTACTCTGGTTGTTTAATTAAGTAAAAGTAGCAATACCACAGCGTGAAAATACTGTTACAAGTCAAAATGTTACTTAAGTACAAAAGTATTAGCAGAAAATATACTTAAAGTACTAAAAGTACTCATTATATAAAATGGCACCGTTTACATTGATGTACATCATATTATTAAATCATAATTAGTGATGAATTATTGTGTAAATCAGTTAATGTTGCAGCTGGTAAAGATTGAGCTCATTTTAACTACCTTGTATGCTTATAAGTTGAATTAATGCTGGGCAGCTTGTGAATTTTACACCAAGGATCAATAAATCTTGTGATTATACTGCATTTTGTTTCATTAACCTCTTTCTAAAAAAAGTAACTAGTAACTAAAGTTATCAAATAAATGTAGTGAGTACAAGGTCCAATATTCTTCTCTGAAACGTAATGAAGTTGAGCAGAAAATGAAACTACTCAAGTAAAACAGAGATACCTCAAACTTGTACAGCACTTGAGTAAATGCACATAGTTACTTTCAACCTCTGCTGAGCATAAATAATAAGTTAGGATAAATGACACCATAGATGAGTCGCCATTATTTCTGGGGTGGGAAAGTGACCCATGAAATTACACTTTCAACAAATCAACATAAACCTGAATAAGGGCACAGACAGGGATTGAAAGGACAGTAAGACGACGAGATCATTCATTCATGGCACATGGCCTCTGTCACGTTTAGGTTTTCCTAGATTTATTCAAACAGGGGGAACATCCACGTACACATTCAACATGTGAACAGTGCGTGCTTCTGTCTGAACTTTCCCCTGAATACCCTTTACCTGATTTTATCAAGGACAGTTGCAAGGTGTAACTCTAATATTAGTCAATGCTGACTTCACAGGTCAGCGCTGGTGTATATTTGGACACAGAATTCACCCGGTCCGATCACCACGTTCAGCAACTGTTCTTGACAAATAAAACTCAGACAAACACAGAGAACGTGTTGCAAGTGGTCCAGCTAGGACATTTTATTTTCTAGCTGTTAAACACTTTTAAAGGTTTTGGGAGCAACACCAACTTTGCTGTGGGCTTAAGTTTGTTTTTGAGGATTTACACTTTTAAAGAACAACATGCGTCATACAGATGGGTGACAAACTAAAGGAAAGACAAGAATAAATGAGTGGTCTCTTCCAGGAGGACAGTGCCCCCATCCAAAGAGCATGAGGAATCACTGAATATGAAAATGATGTGTATCATATTAGAGATGCACCGATTCCAATTCTCTTTCTAGGAATTGTAATTGACAGCATACACAAGCATTTTTCTAATTTTTTTTTTAAATGAAATATCAAATTGGAAAGAAATTAAAAACATTCCATTAAAAGTTTTACATTTGTGCCCCCCCCCTTTTTAAACAAACCTCCAGCTAAAAATTAAGTGCAATATTTGTACTTCTTCAAATATAAATGGGTGAACCAGGTAACAGAAACAGAAGAATGTCTGTTTCATCAGTCCTACTGAACACACTTATTTTTGAAGAGTGTGTTGTTCTTATTTGCTGTGTTTTCCATGGGTTGGATACACTGCACACCAGTAATTCCCTTGTTATGTAGTCTACGATTTGTTGGAGATTTGGATGCAGTTTCCCCTTTCTAAGGTATTTGTGTGCTTTGCATACCAAGCACTTCAAATGCACGAGTGAACACATGACCAGTGTAGAGAAGAGTGCGAGTCTCGCTTGAGGTACACATGACATACTAAGTGCTGCACACACTACACTTTTGGTCTGTGCCACTACGTGTGGGACATGAACTGTTGTGCCTCTAAATCTGATCGGCACAGAATCTGTAATCACAGCGTGCTTGGCAGGTCACCAGTCAAGGCTGATAATGCCGAAAACCAGCCATTTCTGGTCTCTGGTTCTCTAAATGGGAGATTTTGGACCGGTGTGTTAGACAGGGTCCCAACCACCATCATCAAAAAACAAAATGAGGGAGTATCTTTTGGAAGAATGGTGTTCATCCCCCCCAGTAGAGTCCAGAGACCTGTAGAATCAATGCCAAGGAGCATTTAAGCTGTTCTGGTGGCACAGGGTAGCCCAACACCTTACTGAGACACTTTGTTGGTTTTCACTTTGATTTGTCTCCCATGTGCATATTCCTGATGTCAATTATTGTATATTGTAAAATCAATTTAAACTTTAAAAAAGCACAAACAATGTGTTAAAATGTTTTACTGATGGCCACTTTACAACCCTTTAACACTACAAAAAGTCTCACCTGAATATTGCTGCTGCAACTGTTGGGGGTTGCAGGGGGAAGGTGACTGTGTGATTTGATACTGGTCATTGCTGGGGGGTGGCATGTAACCTACTGAAGGGCTGCAGGAGAGACAGGGATACCAACATAACATTGACAGAAGATCAACAAATAATACACACCTAGGAGCCAAGTGTCACTGTTATGCAGTCCTCTGTAAACGCATCAAATTTACTGAATTTATAGAAATTTCAATTTCTATAGCCTTCTTTAGACATGTTGGCAAGAAGGAGGGGGATGCACTCAGAAAACAAATACAGTAAATTTACAAATGCATTATAGGCTCTACTCATGAGCATTTATCCAACATGTTGCGACTTCCTTTAGAAAATGCCAGGCATATTTAAGCATTTACAACTTGCTAATGCCAATAAAACTAAATGCAACCCCCCCCCAAAACAAACAGACAATACTTCACTGTAGCTGCTACTTTAACTGCGTTAGCGTGTAGTTAATACATAATGTGTGTTTTCACAGAAGGCTGGATTATCATTTAAAATATAAAACATCATCTTTTGAATATGACATTCATACATACCTTGTGCTATTCTGTTGCGTAGGTGTAATAACACTGTAGTAGACAGACATGGGGCCCTGGACAGACTGGCTGACTGGTACCATCACCTGCTGCTGGTACTGCTGCTGCACCACCTGCTGATTTTCATTTGCCACAGGCACCTGGGTAAGGGTAACAAGCCAGGAGGAAAAAAAACAAACAAAACAGAAACACTTTTAGGAAAAAATAAATGTAATTGATGGTTCACCTCATTGCTGCCCGAGTTGGTCAGTTTCAATTAAGACTGTCCATTTTATCTTGTTCTGTTTAGGAGCATGTGGAATAGTATCTGCAAAAAGATTCGAGTTTGTTTAATTATATCTGTACTACAGAGCGATATATGTGGTTGGAGAATTTCCACTTTTTCTTTTTAATTAAGTCTTGGGCTAGCCTATGTATCGTCAGCAGACTGTCTTTTCACTTTGGAAGTCCCTTTCTCAGGTACTGATAAGTATGCTTACAACACTATTTAAGGATTATACTAGTCCTTTGCATGACTTTCTGTGGACAACTTCTTCCCCAACTTTGAACAGAATTAAAAGTAACAGGGTGTGACCTCTGGAAAGATCAGAATCAGAGCAAAATATAGTTGCCGCAAGCGGATCTTAAATTTAGCTGCTTCAAAGTTCTCCTGAATTAAAACCATGAGGGGAGAAAAAAAAAGTGTGATTCTGTGAAATGTTTTACCATCTTGCTTCAAATTTTCAACTCTGGTGTAAGAATGTACATGACACTTAGCTTTGTCTGACTCGTCATCATACTGTAGAGTTCAATTTTAAGCGTACACCAGATGGAGCTATTGAACCTGGTGGGATTAGGCACATGTTTGGCTTAAATCTTCAAGTGCACAAGGCTTTCTGAAAAATCTGCACCTTTCAACTTGAGGAAATTAAGTCATATTTACATGTTTTCAGAGCTTTATAAGTTACCTGATAGGATGGCATCTGTGGGTACTGGACCATTATGCTTTGCATCTGTCCCCCCATGCCCGCCCTCTGGGAATTTAGCAAACCAGGGTTTTGGGGCTGCTGCACACCCATCATGCTCTGGTAACTCGGCTGCTGACTGGGCATCATTGTCTGGAGACCTGATGACAACAGACAACAATCAGAGAAGAACATTCAGGGCAGGTGGTACAGACAGTATAAGAAAGGAGCAAGGGGACAAACTGGTTGCCATATAACAGCAGCAGAGCTTTCTCCTCTGAGCAGAAAATCAATTTACAGCAGGACAGAAGTAGGTTGACTTCAGCAAACACAGAACACAACAGTTTACAGATAAATGGAATGGGTAATCCTTGAATCCTGGCTAAAAAGAATCCAGACTGCTTCGTACTTTGCTTTTATATATGTATAAAGCTTTTTCATGAAAGATTTTAATACATAGTACTTTGTTTGCGCAACATGAATTATTTCACAATACTGAAGTATTTGTAGAGGTGCTATAAATATACTATATATCAAATAAAGCAAGTGGAAGCAAATTATTTCAATCTATAAACACCTTAGTCCAAACTACTGATATTTTCTTTAAGTATAAATCTTTGCCATCACCAAACTCTTAATTCAAACCAAACTGAAGCCTTGTACTGATGCAACCGACTACAGTGTTTATGAGCCGTGTAGATTTGGCAATACTTTGCTATAAGCCAGAGTCCATCTAGGTTGTTAACAATATCTATTAGTTAGTTACTATATAAACACAGTTAACCTTCGCAGACTCCAGATGAGAAGAAGATAAAGCTGTCAGGTTTTTCCATGAAAAACAAAAGAACTCTATTTTGGTCTGAGCATATTTGGCTTGGTAGGATAATGTAGGAACAAGGCTGTTTAAAGTTAACCTTTCACCTAGTAGACTTAAAACTGAGTATGATTAGCTGGTTTTTGCTGAGGGACAACATAATACAGTTATTAGTGGACTGTATTTATGTGTATTGACATGTTATGGATACATTTTGGATGGAGCTCTGAATGAGTAAAAAATTATATTTTCATGTGACATATTTCTGTTCATATTTACAGTGACAACATTGTAAAAACTATAAATATTAAACATCAAAAGACTATGTGTGTTCGCAAACTGATTTCACTTTTAAAAATGTACACAACCACTGATACAGATACAGTATGTCTATATGTAGTTATTTGTATCTATCATCTACTGTATATAGAACTGATAGAGTTCCACAGTGCAGCCTAACAACATGTACTGACCTGACTGCTGTGTGGGCTGAGGCATGGGTTGTGTACGCTGGGCAGAATAAGACACCTGGTGGGACATGGGCTGTGGCACGCGGTACTGCTGGCCTGAGCTGGGATACTGACCAGGAGAGTAGTATGACACTTGTATCTGAAGAGAAATGACAAAAAGACCTGTTTTAGAAAGCCAAAAACACTGAACCAGGAAGAAAATAAAATAACTGATAATGAATCACACTGACTTACTGTACACATTAGCTCTTTATACATGAGGCAGAAAGACAACAATGGGGACATCTTCTCCCATATTTTCATTAAACTGCCTGCACACTATCAGTTATACATGACAGTCATTACAATTTTTTTTATATATTCTAAAACCAATATAATGATTTGGCACCAATTTTCACAGATCTGTGGTGAAAATCATAGACTTAAACAGTACATCTTGGGAAGATGCACCATATAAGAAAAAAATAAAGAAAAAGCCAAAGAACCATGGTCTTTAATAATGCTAGTGTACATTTACATTGTTCGTTTTTAAAAAAATATTCAAAATGTTTTCATAATTAAAAAAAAAGGACCTTTTCTTAACTAAGGATCAAATTGCAAGTTGGTGCAAAGAGATGAACAAGCAAAAAGCAACCTCACTATCATAACTTAGCCATTAAAGCCATTATAGCTATATTTTTTGCATCTTAGGGCCAGTGGAAACACACTGCAAACACAACTTTGACATATTGGTTTGGGGACATGGAGAACCTGCTAGCAAACAATTGCTTATTTTCACATTCAGCGCATATAGAGCAATATTATCATTTATTTGGAGACATGTTTCTGTCCACAATGAATGCAAATTCATTTTTAACTATGGGCTGCATCATGTTCACCAGCTAGGTCACTAATATTGTCTGTCTCCCGTTTCTAAATTACCTGTACAACGCCAGCAACACTGCGTTTAGAGCATTTTAGAGCAAAATGACAACATAGCTGACATACAGTAAAGTAATGAACCACATAACTAAAACAATGAGCTAAAAGGTGTAAAACCCTTCCACAGCGCTGAGGGCAGCTGCAATTATCTGAGTAACCATCTTCACAAATAGTCATTCAATCCACTGTTAATATAAAATCATCATTACAGTAACTTTAAGACCAGGCCTCCAAACACTGTTCTGTGCCTCCTTATCAGTGTTCACCAATCATGCATGAACAACAATATTAGAAAGATAAAAAGAACTGTTATAAAGTACAGTAACACTTCACAATAGCTACAGAGATATGCATCCAGTGCTGTAGCTGGAATAATTCAGTGTGCCTTATACAAGTGGACTAAAAGTAGCACACAGAATTTCCAAACAATGCATCAAAGGGACAAATAGAAAAAGCTTAATGCTGGGAGGATCGATATGCGCTTCCTCCACCTTCATCTGCATACATGACAACATTCAGCTCATCTAGAGGCTGCGGTGGTGTCAATATTTGCACTCCTGTAACACTGTTGACCACCCACACATTGAACAAAACATCACATCTATCTTTCCCAGCCAATGGTGTGCATGGAGCTCTAAAAACGAGAATATTATGAGAAGGTGTGTAGGGTGAAAAAGGCACAAAAAGACAGTTTATATAGGTCAGAGCTAAGAATTAAAACAAAAAAAGCACAAAGAATGAAAGTTATAAAAAAAAACAGGAACAAGATTGCTTTTTAAAGATTTTTTCTTCTCAAACAAAAACAGCTTTTACAGTATAGAAAAGGATCAAGATTGGGAATAGGTGCAAAAACAGCACATACATGATAATGCAAAGCCTAATAAGTACATGTGGGGAAAAACTACAGTTATTGGGTTCTGTAAAATGTCCACCTGATTTCAGTAAATCCTCTATTATCCACCAGATCTGCTGTGGAAAAAGTCACTCTGGTCCCGGGATAATGTTGGTGATTTAGGGTCTATAATTGATAATCTCCTTTAAATAAGTATTACTGACCCCTGATTCGGTTAATATAAACATAATACTAGTGTGAATTATTAAAAAGAAGAGTGACTTTAGCAATTTAAAAACTACTAAGCCTCTTTTACAGCTTATCCCAGGGCCTAATCTCTCACAGGGTGTTTAATGGCCAGGTCAGTGTAGTTCTCTCTCCTCAAATGAATTATAATAACTACTTTATGGATTCAAGCAAAGGCCTGAAGGAGAAAATGAAGAATGTGAATAACAGAGAGTGAGAGAACTCATTACTGACACCGCCTCTGCAATTAGAGGAATGTGATAGGCTGGCTGGCTGGCTGACTGACTGACTGACTGAGCCCAGGCTTGTGAAGGTGACACACATCACTCTGAGTGCAGGGACCAAACTCCTCACTGGGTAAACCCTGCTACTTCACAGCAATCACATCACTGACACGTCAATCCTCACTCTCAAAAGAAAACTGGCTAAATGTTTCCACTCAAATTTATCTTTTTTTATTATTAATATTATTATTAACACTCTTTATAGCATTTACTTTGGACAGTTTTTACAGTAACACATTTTATGGGCTAGCAATTTCATAGTAATTTTATAGAAAGTTTCCTGGAACAGATCACATAATTTGATATGAGATGCAGGTCGAGAAGAGACAGTGTACTTTGGTACACCAATAAATAACGCCTAAGCTCATGTAACGTCTTTTAAGTCAGCGCAGTGCAGGTCCACAAACAAGCAAGACATTTGTTTACAGGCAAGCAAGCAGTTCGACATACAGTATAAAAGGAAAACAACTGACTGATTGAAATTTGTCTTTGGCTGAAGTTATTCAGATATGACACTTCTAAATATAATGTTAATATTTTATGTTAATAAAAGAGTTTTTACAGTGGATGGACAGACTGGAGACAGAGGGGAAAGATGTGACCCTGGTTGCATATTTATTTACCTGTTTAAGATCAAGATTCATTGGGTTTATTTGTCTCATTCACTGACACTTGGTATGAGAACACAGGCTGCAATGACATTTTTTGGTAATTCTGTAGTCAGAGGCAAGTGGTGAACCTGTGCCACAGCTGGAAATGTATTATAAGGAAAAGCATATTTATTGTGACAAGAAAACAGTGTGATGTTGTTTAGCGGTAATGGCATATTTTATAACAGAAACGGCACAAGAAAAACACAGTTCAGCAGTTTACCTCTGTATCTGGACCTGCTTTTTTATTTTTTTTACAACAGATGGAAATGACTAATATTTCTGGAGTTACTGCCTGAAAAAATACTGTAATGCAGTGAATGCTATAAAGCAACAAAGCTGCTTGAAGATCAAACAACTATTTCTTTCTCTTCATGTGTGAATTTATTATCCTTCTAACCATAATAGTACAAACTTCTCAGATACTGTGGACCACAGCTGTCTTGTGTAAATGATGTGTAAAATGTTACCCACAGCTGCCTGTGTCAGATCTGAAATGACTAGGAACATGAATTTAGCAGAGGAGAGGACCTTTTTCTGGGATACACTTAAATTCACAGCTGACTCTGAGATGAACATAAGATTGTGATTTTGAACATCAGAATACATTAACATAATAATAGAATCGGCTGGTATAGTCACTGTAATGATAAGTTTTGTGCATATAGTCCACCCAACAATATTGGTATTATCTATTAATAATCACCTCCACAAATATTTTTACTGTATGTACTGACAACCACAACACTGAGTTACATGGTGTTCCTGCAAAAAGTATTCTAATATGCCCTCCTGAGAGTGCATCCAGAAGTTAGGACTGTTATTCAAATTGTTGAATTGAATAGGTGTGCTGAGGTCCATAAGCATTAACAGAGATAATATTTAAATGGATCTCATCTTAATTTCCCTTGACACACAATTGGATTTCTTTAATTAAAAAAAATAAAAATCATCCCTCATCAGCTCCTCAGCAAATCGTAACTACAAATCATTTTACCTGCTAACATTTTAACTATGGTGAAAATGAGTGTGCTGTTCCTTTCCTAAGATCATTCCTGGGTAAAAGATGTTATTTATGCATGTCCCAAAATGCATCTTGCAAAAGATCCCCCCTGACATTACCACTTGCAAACAAATTAGTAAAATACTTTATTGGATATTTATTTATATTTATTCTCCAGGATGATGGTGGCTATCTCACAACCTGTGGAGAATAGCATACCTGCTGAGGTGGAGGTGGCTGCATGTAGCCTTGTGGGGGTGGTGGAGCCTGCATGACTGGCTGGGATGGAGGTGGTGGTGGAGGTGGAGGATGGGGGTGTCCGGTGGCAGGTTGGTAGCCAGACGGAGGTGGCAAAGGCTGACCCGTGGTAGCCATGATGTAACCAGTCTGAGGAGGGGGGTGCTGAGAAAGCACTGTGGGAGGAGCCTGATACATAGGGGGAGGCTCAGGGTTCTCACTGGAGCCCTGCCGACTCAGTGTCATCTGGCTGAACTGGGGTGCCAGCTCTTCTCCCTGAGAGGAAAGGGAATGAAATCAGCAGGTTTGGGTTTGCGGTTAGTAGCTCTATACAAGTACCTCTTGAGAATTTTGGAGTTATAGTGTAAAGTTTAGCTGAGGCCTAAGTGATTGAGAGCAGCCACCAAATGCTACAATAGCAGCAGTGTAAGAGCCCTGGAGACATGAGCATTGAAAGAACAATGTGGCATTTTAGAAAATACCCAAAAGCCATTTTGCACTGACTCAGATGAGAATACTCATATCAATTTCATTTCTTTCCATCCAGTACAATGTGTTTAACAGTCCTGTACAATACCAAGATCATTCCTGAATGTAACTGCTAAAAAGCAAGCTAAATCTAAGGACACATTTCCACAGATGTTGGATCTTCACATTTTATTGTGGGTTTGTCATAAAACTAGTGTATCACCCAAAATGGTAGTGTTTCTGTGAAAACTGGATCTATGCAAACACTTATTCCGCAGAATGTGCTAGCTTGCGTGATTAACAATGAGAGCATTGCAGTTTTCATGATTTTATGGATTAATAGGAGAACTGAGTTCTACACACTTCAAACATATTGGTCAACTGTTGCAATGTGTCAAATGGGACCACAAAAATTATATTTTACTTTTCTAATACAGTCTAAGCAGTTTTTTGTCTGAAATATATAGGCCTACATGTTAACATATTCAAATATGATGACTGTAATAACTAAGAAATCTGCCATAAAAATGGTACTTCAAATAATGAGCTAACAGATTTTTCACACTTGTCAAGGAAACAATTTTTAAAAAATAAAATACCAAAATAAAGACCAAGACGTTGTTCCATTTTGTCACCTTAATTTGCATGTACTTTATGATAAATAGTGCATGCAAACAAGCACAACCATTAACATCCTGGAACATCAGGCCATGCTTAGGTACACAGCCTGAGAGAAAGCTGCATCAGAGACGTAACTTTTCTGCGACTGTGGTTACATACCTACCAATGTTAATGACAGCAGGGTGACAGAGATACAGGAGTTTTAGTAGAATAAAGAATTAGCTAGACATGAAGTGTGAGGGTGTCAGTAATGCAGTCTTTAACCAAATTAGCATTCCAAGATTAAGCTAAAAGAGGCGTCAGTACCATTGTGTACTGCTGGGGAGGAGAAACTGGCAGGAGAACCTGGGGGCAGGAAGGGCTGGAGTAGGAGACAGGCTGAGAGGGCTGTAGAGAAGCCACCGGCTATACATACCACCAGAAAGGAGGAGGAAATAAAGAGGAGCAGCATAGAAAGATTGGAGCAAGCCAGTGAGAGGGAGGGTGTCAGAAGCAGACAGAAAGAAGGGGGGAAAATGAAGACATCAGAATGATGTGGGTTAGAACACAGAGGACAAATTGTTAATGAACAGATGGACAGAAATGGAAATCACATTTAGTTTCTAAATAATATACACAAGCAATAAAATACTTTATACAAAATTAAATGTAATTACTACCTCTCAAATAAAGAAGAAAGGGTTGCTATCAGACATGTTATCACTTACTTTTAAAAAGTTTTATTTTGTTGCTCAAGGTACCTTTTCCTTACATATGGCCAGATTTCAGCCTCAGGTACAACATTAATTTAATAATCAAACTTGTTAGTGGGCCAGGGATCAGTAAAGATGTTCTACTGACCCCCATATCAAATTACATCCTCCATAACATGAAAGTTTACCTTCATTTTTGCTGATATGGTTGGCATAAATGCAAGTATGGAGGTACTTACCTGAGCAATCATGTGGTTGCCCATAGGATGCTGCTGTGGGGTGGGTAGCAGGGCAGTCTGAGGCGGGGGCGGGGGCTGGGGGTGCCTGG